TGCGTGATAAGAAAACGAAGCGTTTTCAAAACGTCCCATGCGAACGTGATTTTCAAACGGAAGGGCGGCGTTTTCAAAACGCCGCCGCTTCCAATAAGCGCTCTCAAACGGACCCTAAATCGCCTTCCTTACACGCCTCTTCTCTTCAAAGGAGGGCCCGCGTCTTCGTATGATGCTCCGTTCTTGCCGAATCGTGTTTTGTCGTACCTCGTCAGCAGAAACCGCACATTTGTACTTCATCCTTCATCGTTTCCTCTTCCGTCGAGATACGTTGGCGTCCTTTCTCGTTGTTTCCTATGTCCGCTTCTACTCGCCACAGTCTTTCATCCCCGTTTGGAACGACTGTTTCCTGTCCGCTATTCTTGCGTTTGAGCTGAAATCGCAGAAGCTTCACAGAGAGGTTTACGCTCCTCCCTGTTTTGATTCAAATTTTGCACTCTACTTTGCCATCTTCACTGTTCTTAAAGCCGCACCTCCATCTATTGGGGATGGCTTCGGACAGATCGTATTCTGTTGCCCTTGCGGGTATCCACGCCTCAGGTGCACATAAATCGTGTTCTTTCTCTCCTTCGTTTGAGTTGGCGGAGGACATAAAAAGCATGGTAGGAAGAAATAGAAGTCTGTCATCATTTTTACAGAAGCTGAAGTTATTCAACTTGCTTCCTCCTATTGACTGAATTTGGTTTGAAAATTTTTGTATGACCATCTCAAAATAAAGTTATTTTGTAAGGAATTTGAGCTTATGCACTTTATTGGGGAGTGAAAAATTGGACTGTTAAATGGAAGACACATTCTTATACAATTAAATAATTAAGAAAATTACACACGATTATTTGCTAAAAGAATAATCTTGATTGATAACAAAGCAATGAAAATTTTGGAATGGTTTGTGGATTTTGACCCACAGACGGAACCACCAATCAATCCGGTTTGGATTCGCCTTCTCTTATCTGAAATTTTATTATTTTACTCAAAAAATGTTGTACTCTATTACCCCAGCTTTTGGTAAGCTACTCAAAACGAAAATTTCTATTTTTAATCTTTCCCGTCCATCTGAAGCTAGAGTACTTGTTAAAAGAAACATCACTTCATACGCTTCTGAGAAAATTTGGTTGGGCACACAACATCATGAATATTGGCAAAAAGATGCACAGTCCTTTTCTTCGTATTGTTCGAACTGTCGTATATTCGACCACTCAAGTTCTCAATGTCACGATCTATACCCCCACTCAGACCAAAAAAGCACAGTGCTCTGCCAAAGGCATTGAATTCATTTCCTCCTGATCAGCTCCAAGTTATTGATACTATTGATCATAAAAAAAGATACCCCTGAAGATACCAATATTCTCGCAGGCAATATGATAATCATTCAGTCCCCAAACAATGTTATAGCTCTCCCGCCTTTGGAACCTACTATCGTGGGGGATAGGGAGATTCTTCAAACCCCACCTGACTTAGAACCTATCCACAATATTACAGGTGACAATACTTCTACTAGTTCAGGTCAAGCAAGTTGTTAATGTTACTCAAGCTTATGGACATCATGATGTGCAACAGCCTACACCTGTCCGACCAACTTTGGAACAACCTATTGATCAGATGAGTCAATTATAGGATGAGGAATGACAGATCTACACATCCAGGAGGAAGAAAAAGAATGAAGAGCTACTTGAGCTCAGGAATTTGATAGATGATACTTTGGTTACTTCGGGCAATGATACTCACTTTACCAATTTATTAGTCGGCTCACTTCCGAGAACTAGAGGCAGAGGGAGGACTAAAGTGAGACGTCCCTAGCATTTTTGCGTCATTTGGTGGCTTTTTGATTCCATTTGGTGGCTTTTAGATTTTTTAATTTTATGTATTTTTGCTTTATTTGGGATTTTTGTGTGTTGTATTGTGTGAGTTGGGCCTTCTTTTAGGTCCTCTCATACAACATTTTCGTATCTTCTCTCATACAACATTTTCGTATCTCTCATACAACATTTTCGTATCTTTTCCGCTTTAATATATTAGCCATTGGGTTGTATATATATAGACGATTAGTATTTTTAAAAAAAGTAATTGACGACAAGATTATAAAAATTTATAATCAATTATAATTATTAATTAAAAAATTAGACTAAAAATATATTAAATTATATTTAAATGACGTTTTAATATAAACAATAAGATTTAAATCTTGCCCCAACCCTTAACATCCTCTGACGGCGTGATTAGGGTTGTCAAAATGAATCTTTGTTCGTGAACAACATGCGTCCGACATGCGTTCGACTAACTAAGCAAACGAGCCGAACATAAACACACATTTTGTGTTCGAAATATAAATGAGTTGAACACGAACAATTATATTTTTTAGCGAGTCGAACAAGAGCGAGCTCGAGCCCAGAGCTGAGCCTGGGCTCGCTCGTGTTCGGCTCGTTCACACCATAAGCGACATGCGATGCATCTAATGTCTGATAACGGGATACGAAATGCGCTATCTTCAAAAATCGATCTACCACTACGATGATTGAATCCTTGTTTTGCTGAGTTCTCGGAAGTTCCCCCAAAAAATGCATGTTAACGTCCACCGTTTAGTATTGTGGCTCTTGGCAGAAAAACATGTCTTTGAGCGCAATGGCATCCCACCTAACAAAAGCTAGTTAGCCACCATCAAGTTGAAAAAAAGTGCATCCCTATGGTGGGAAAATTTGAAACGCCGACCCTTGTGAAGAAAAAAAGCAAAGTCGCTACCTAGTCTAAAGATGAAAAGGGAAATGCAATGCAAGTACCTACCACAACATTACAAAAATGACATATTCTTGAGCCTCCACCACTCACAGCATAAAGATTTGTCAATATAGAAGTACACAATTGACTTAAAATAGCTTGTGTTAAAATATGAGCTAAAGGAGCCTGAGGAGAACACTATAGCTCGATATCTGAGAGAAATAAGATAATCCATCGACAACATGATACAATTACAATCATACTGGTTCTTACTGACATATAAACCCCAAAAGGTGGGAAAAATAGTAACATCTACAGGTGACTGCCCCACCATAGAGACAAAGTTCAACCCTAGAAACATACAACAAGAATATACTTAATAGAGCATCCCACCCGACCTCTTCTGAGGAAAAACCAGTTCAATGGGGAAAAAAGTTTGAGCCCACAACATCCCCAAATCCATTCTGCTATTAAGTACTTTAAGTGTCACAATTTTGGCTACATAATGGCTGATTGCAAAATAAGAATGAAGACGTTTGAATGTCACAATTTAAGAAGGATCTTATTCACAGAGCTGGGAGCGGTTGAAGAAAAAGATAGTGACACATAAGAATGAAGACGTCAAAAAGGAGTCTCAACTTCCAATAATTGAGGGAGAGATGTCGGTGATTCAAACTGAGCCAAAAAGAGAGATCACAACAAGGATAACATTGATTGCCTAAGAAAACAACAAGTCTGAAGAAACCGATACCTAAAAAGGGACAACCCCTATTAAGAGAGTTGTCGGATATCATGATTGACAATTTCCCTCCTGGATGGTTTCCACTTAGAGCTGTCCAACATGAAACGGATGTCATTCCAAGGTTGATTTTTTCAGAAATTTATTTATAGAAAGCCCCCAACCGAGCATGGGGAGCGAGAAAAGCAAATTAAAGGCATGGTTCGTGGGAATACCCATCTACATGCAATCCCAATTCTTATTGTGTTGAAGAATGATGACTACTTTTTCTATCAAGATGTGCTTTAGAATGTAGTACATGTTTTAGAGTTACATGGAATGAACGTGAGAAGAGATTGTATAGTGAGACTTCCTCTGACACGACAAAATGATGATTTTGTTATGGTGTCGATAAATCAATTCCATAAGCTTCCTACTCGAGGAAAATGATGCAAGAGCTAGCAAAAATGCAGGAGCATCCCACACAAGATCCGTTATCCCATTTCTGAAGACATCAAGCTTCTGCTGGTCTCACTGATTTTGTGATCCCAATCACAAGATTTTCAACATTCCGCAATTGGAATCAATCCCGCATGTTCCACCTGTCACAAAAATTTAAATACCACGAACACGGTATAGGCGAACCAACTACTAATCATCTTATTGCAAAATTTCAAGTGAATTTTTGCCCTTTTAGTTTATCTATATTTCTTTCTTCTAATTAGGATTCTTCAAGCAAGAGACCGTTACTATGCTTGTTTTTTCTGTTTTGGAGGACTTTTGATTATTGTTATTGTTTTCGGAGACGTTGGTCTCTATTTTATACTCTTTGAAATGTTGTAAATTTCCTTTGCAAGTGGTATGTCTGTATCTTGCTCAGGAATAGGTGTTGAAATCTCCTTAACCTCTGTACCACACCATTTCATCATTCAACCTGCTATTTTCGATCCGGAGAGCTGCTAGCAACGTTCTATCTGCTGTCAAACAAAAGATTTAGCACCGCATACCATTACAAACACCATTGACCACACATATTATCCACTTTCCAGGTCAAGAATGGCAGCAGGTTATTTCTCTTTCAAAAAAAGAGCTATCCCAACTTTTTAGTTAAATGAAAAAATTCTACATTGACATTGTACATGTCCTTATAAATTTCAGTGAAAAAATATTATTTCTTTGATTTTCCTTTTTTTATCCAATCTGCACAAGACGATTGGAGAAGCTTGTATGCTTACTACCTAACAAGACAAACAAAATATTTGATACTATAAAGAATGAAAATTGAAAGTTGACTTGTCAAATTTAGAGAGCAAGTATATTTTGCCTTTAGTTGGAGAGATGTCATAGAATACATTACCACATCGTCTACTTTGAAGAAAAGTATTTCACTCCACTTCACAATGGACTTCCCTGCACCTAAAGGCTCTGGAATGGCACCACAAGTTCGAGCACTTTGTTGTTGCCTATGAGACCTAGTAGAAGGGCATACAAAAAGACGCACAGCTACTGTATATTGGGTAGATGCCATTCCTTCTCTGGCAGGAAACTGATATTCAAAAGGCAAACAAATGTCAAAACCAACCAATTCACACACAATATCAAAAGAACACTTCAAAATAAATCATTACAGATCATTGTGAAAGAAGAAAGGAGGAAAATAATATGCTAGGTAAAGTGCAATGTATCATTTGTAACCGGTGTTAGTATTGATAGTGAGGGTTACATGTTAGAAATGAAAAGAAAGGAAAACTTAGGAATCTCCTAAAAAATAAAATAAAGAACTATTAATTAAGCTTTGATCATACTGCAACAAGTCCGAAAGACAGTGTTAAAACTTACTTCAGCTTCTGAAATGATAACTGTCAACATTGAATGAGATGCTGCATTGGTTCTCCCTTTCATGTGAGAGTCCAACATATTTTTCAATACAGGAACTTTTACACGTATGTTGCCTCCTGATGGCATCTTAATAACATTTGCCAATCTATTAGTTTCAACAACTCGGATATATATATCTAGACCAAGCTTGTTCTGGGGAATAATGAAGTAGTTTCTTCTATGATTGATATCAATTACAGACCCCTCCCCATACTCTGACGGGACAACTTCCTGATAAAGTAGAAAAAATTATCAGTTGAGCCAAGAAAACATCAAGTTGCAGCAATACTATGAGCAAACTATCAAACGCCACTTACATTTTTTACACCAGGTTCATCAACGAGGCTTAAGTTGTTCCAGCTAGAATAAGCTTGAAAAATCATGTTCGCATTAGATACAGAGAGATTCAAATTGAGATCCTTTGTAGAGGTTATCCGAACCTGGGTAGCAGGGCCTGGTGCATTTTGATCATATTGATACCTGAAAATCAATATTTAGTTGCAGATATATTAATTAACCAAAAGAAATAATCATAATGGAACAAGTTAGTGAGATCTGTGTTAATATTGTTTGATAGATTTTTGGGAAAGTTAAGATGAAACTTTAAAAATGAATAAAAAATGTAAGATCAAATAACTAGTTGCATTGAGACAATTCTCATAGATGCTTTAAAAAAGAGGGATAAATTGCATGAGAAGGTAGTTCTGGTGTTAGGAGGCAAAAAATAAAATAACTAAAATAAATATGTTTTTAAATAATGAAAAGGGAGAACCTTAGAAGCATACAATTATTAATAAGAGCTAAAAATTTGCCAAAAACATATATAGTAAACAAAGCCAAGGTTATTCATCTCTTTGAGAAACATCCTTAGATAAAAAGAAGATCAAGTTTGATGAGCTAAAACTGAAGTTGACAAGACTAATTAAATATCAAAACATAGAGGAAAGATGAAAACTGATATAAGAAAAATTAAAAATACTTCCTAAGGACATATCTTCGACACCTCAAACTTCATATTTTCAACATAACCACCACTGCTTTCAATGCCATAAAACAGTCATGTTATTTAGTTCCCTTGACATACCTTATGATCATTCATTCCTATGAACTAAAATGTGTGTGATACCGAAGTTTACCCAAATAAAAATAAGCAAGCAAAAATTATTGGTGAAAAAGTCAGTAAGCGGTTAGAACCAACACACTTGAAAGGGAAAATACAACACGACACAAGGCTGGAGCGGATCTTGGGTGGTGGTGGTCGTCGTAGTAGGGATCTTGGAAAGGTGGCAACATCGATTATGGGCTGGAACAACAGTGTAGCAAAGGGGGGCAGCCCCAACAACAACAACTATGGAGTGCAGTCGAGAGTGACCCGAGAAGGATGCAGAAAAGGGTAGGGAAGATAATCATCAGTTGGATACCAAAATACAGCCAAAACACCACCATCCCGGGAAACAACCCTTGAAGGGGAGAAGAGACGCCGACAACTGCCCTAATACCAAACACATAAAAACTGCCAACCTAAAACATAGGAGGTAAAAAAGTAAGCCCAAGATAATTTAAGATTGCAACAGTCAAATCCAAAGAAGGATGCCGATCGACTCTCCAGCTTGCCTAGACCGGTCGATCTGGGCGCTAAACGTGGGAGGGGGACCCGCAACATCACACATTAGAAGAGACACTTCCCCGTTTGTTTGAGTGTTGTAAGAAGGAAAGGTAGAAATTTTCTTAAAGAAGCATATATTGGATCTGTTTGAACAGTTGCAGTTGCCAGAGAGAGTAGCAATGAAAAAGTTAGTAAAAAACTAACTTTCTTTTTTTAAGTTGTTATGGTAACAACAAACTTTTTCATATTAAAAGAATTAATCAAAAACATTTTAAAGCTACCAAACTCTAATATATTTGGTTATTCAAAACAGATTTCCTACACAAAAAATTTTTAAGAGATTAACAAAGTTGTAACAAAATATAATTGCGGCAACGGTCCAAAAAGCAAAGTTATGAAATAGTTTCCCCAAACAGACCCATAATATGCTAATACATAAAAGAGACAATTAACTACTAAACAAGTTTCCATGTAAACTTCACTGCCCCGTTGAACCAAAATAGCACGAATTGCCATGTTGTTGTCCACCAGCAGCCCAAGTTTCTTGAAGCTCCATTATCCGTACATAAAGAAGCATCTTCTTTAAGCCTCCCATCCATCAATGTACCAGCGTGGCACATGCAAAGCTCCTAGTCACTCAACCACATCTACCTCAAAATAGAGACCAACAATGCATTCACCTAAACATCAAACTTGGTTTATGCAATCTAATTGAATTTGACCGATTGCACCAAAACAACTAGTTTCTGCTCCTTTCCATTAAGAAAAACCTCTTCAGCATTGCAGTCACAGTTGCCATGATACCGGAGGAGAAAGCCAAAATCACAAAAAAAACACAACTTTTTATTAATATAGATTACGGCCTGACACCGACGGAAAGGGAAAACACAATAACAAATCAATCTCCGGCTACAGGCCGAAGAGAAAATCCGAGGACGGAGTGGTGATGACAATGGGGTGAAGGTATGGCAAAGAAGATGGTGGTTGCGAGGTAGTTAAGAAAAGATTTGGTGGTGATTTGGGTGCCGGTAGGTGAACTTTTGCTGCAGGAAAGTGGCAGCTGTTGGTGGGATGAAGGCCGGGAAGTGGTACAACAAGGTTATGCGACTGGGGGCTGGAATGGGGAAAGGGGCGACTGGTGGCTACAAAGAGGGGCGAAGAAGGGTTAGGTAAGGGAATAAGGAAGCGTACAACACCAACTCAAAGTAGGATGCAGCACCTCCTCGGATACAACCTTACGAAAGGGAAGAAGACTTCCCTCGATTCCATACCAGAAATCTGAAAGCAATACACAGCAAGAAATAATCCCAACTCTGACTAACAAGCATACAAATAGACTCAAAGCAAGAAAGTACATAAAAGGAACGAGAGGAAGGGTTGGCGGCATTGCTGAATTTCCTAAAGTGCCGCTCGATCGAACGAGACATAGGAAAGAGCGGAAATCCCACTCACCTCCTAATGCACCTTGAACCGGTCGCCCCCAAGCCACTCCCCTATGCCAATCGGTTGAACCGATCTGTTTCCTGCCTCTATATGGGAAATTCCTGCACCGCACCCCACGCGGGGAAGCATCTTCTTGGAGCCTCCCATCCATCAATGTGTCAATGTGGCACATGCAAAGCTCCTAGTCACTCAACCACATCCAACTCAAAATAGAGACCAACAATGAATTCACCTAAACATCAAACTCGGTTTATGCAATCTAATTGAATTTGACCCGTTGCTCCAAAACAATTATTTTCTGCTCCTTTCCATAAGGAAAACCTCTTCAGCATTGCAGTCACAGTTGCCATGGCCACAATCAAAAGAAAATCAACTTAATCCTTGCTCATGTAAATCTTCCAATTCGTATTTTAGTCAATGGGGAAAATTTCAGGCGTTTGGTATGTTAAACCATGTTTCAGATCCTTTACCTCGATTTAATGGTTTGAAGTAGCCCATGGTTTGAGGTAGGCCTGGTTTGGTCTTGCTTGGTATCGGAGAACGAGAGAGAGATAAGGGTGGTCTTTACCGATGAGGATCACGAGTTAATGGAGATATTAAAGAGGAAGCAGAGAGCGGCATGTGATGCCAATGGGAATGCTTCCGCCTTATCGTCATCAAAGGAAACAAGGCTAGTTAAGCTCACTCAGTCAAAGGAGTTCGTCATACATATGCTCTTACCTCTATATCTACCACAAGTTCATCAGAATGGATAGTAGATTCTAGTGCATCTCGACATGTGACAGGTGACAGCGAATTTTCTTCTTATACTCATCTAACAGTTCCCGATGAGCATTCAGACTGCTGATGATACAACACAGTCTGTGGTTGGTAAGGATAGAGAGGTGCACCAATTTTATGACTTTGTCCAATGTTTTGCATGCTCCTTCCTTTACAGTGAACCTTTTATCCATTAGTATCATTATACTCGAATTAAAATGTTTTGTTTTATTTGATATCCCAAAGGTAATCTTTCAAGAACAAGGAACTGGCCGAAAACTTGGGACAAACACGTGGCATAATGGCCTTTGGTACTTGGATAGAGAGAGGATGAACTCAGTCATGACATCCATGGTTGAGAATGCTAGAGCAGGAGAATTTGAGAGGAGTGCAGAGGATGTATTGCTGCTACATCACAAGCGTTTATATTCATCGTTGTATGAAAAGGCAAATAAGGAGAAACTGGTGTGTGATGCTTGTGAGTTTGGCAAGCTCACAAGGAGCTCTTATGTTAGTTATGGGAATACATTTTGATGTATGGGGACCTTGCCCAAATTGTTCTATAAATGTATATCATTATTGTGTTATGTTTATTGATTGTTTTTCTCATGGTGCATGGTTATACTTGATGAAACAGAAGAGAGAGGTGGTTGCTTGCTTTAAAAATTTTCACAAGGCAATCCAGACCCAATATTGGGAAGTTGTGAAAGCACTGAGATTTAACAGTGAGACAAAATATATCAACAAAATATTTGGGGACTATCTGTCAGCTAAAGGGATACAATACCAAACCACATGCCCATATATACCAGCATAGAATGAAGTAGCAAAGACAAAGAATCAGCATCTTCTTGAGGTAGCCCAGAGTTTAATGATGACATTGATTGCCCCACATCACTTATGAGGGCAAATAGTACCGATAGATGCTCAATGGATTAATATAATGCCCTAAAGAGTGTTGGAGTGTAAATCTCCTTGTCAGATGTTGAATGGAGACAATAGTGAGATCCTTCCATTGACGATATTTGAGTGTGTATGCTATGTGAAAGGCATCAAACCATCCGAGACACTTTGTGAGTATGGATATATCATTCAGAGGCTTTGAACCATACTACATTTTGGAGGTGAATTCACCCTTCGGTGACTCAACAGACACTGAAGATATGAGGCAAGAGAGAGCAAGCAGTTGTGGTGATAAAGTGGTGCGAGTTGAAGCAATGACATGTCCTGAGATGCGAGATGAATAAAAGAGGAGGCGCAAATTGAAGGGATTGAACCCAGAAGTGGTGGGATTCAAGATGAAGGTGAGCTAAGGATGTATACACGGAGGAAGAAGCAAACTAACAGAACAGAGTCTGCAGTGCCAACAAGAAGGATCTCAAGTGGAAGGTGTCTATGCATGAAGAGCATAGGGCTCTTGATAAAAACCGAATATAGAAGATTGTACACTACCAGATAGGAAAAAAACAGTTGGGTGCAAGTGGATCTTCACAGTACCACTCCACTTCATGGCCGTGAGGGGTAGATTTTATAGAAATTGGCTATGGGGATGCTTAGCTGGCCAATTGAGAGCTTAGCCCCACTGCTTAGTTGTCAAGAACAGGAGCTCTCAGCTCAATTTGGGCTGAGGTGGCCTCTTGGCATGGGTTTGGGTTTTAGTCATGTGGGGGCT